TTTTTCTCTATTTGTCCGTTTCCAGCACTCTCTCGACACTGCAATGACGAATAACGGTTTGAAATTTGGCGCGGGCAACGGGGCCAGTGAGACACCCATTCCGTCCGTCTGTGGTCGCGGTCGCAGTCTTTTCCTTGCTTCTCTTGGCCTCCCCCTCTGCCCCTACCCCCTTTCCTCTCTCTCTCTCTCTCTAACTCTCGTGCGATCGGCCCGTGGCACGGTGGGCATGCCTTCCTAGCTCCCCCCACCCCTGCCGGCGGCCGAGCCGGCCCCCGGGGCCCCCAGCATCATTTTATGCACAGTGTACGGAAGCCCGGCAAAGGCAGCCACATCAGAACCCTCAAATCGATAGCTGTTTGCTTTTTTTCTTCTTATCTTTCTCTTTCCTTGTTTCTCGTTGAGGGACGACAAACGAAGCGCCGCGCGGCAGGTCCCCGGGGCCGCGGGGGCCTCGACGGGGGCCTCGACACCCAACACCACGACGGGGAGCCACACCACCACTCACTTTTTGTGCAACTTGTCCCCGTGGCCAGCGTGGCCGGGGTGTGCGCTGTGGCCGCCATGGCCTCCGAGTCCCAGGACGGCGTCGGGGAGGCAGGGGACCCCTTCCTCGCCAGCCTCGCCGACGGCCTCGGCGGCGGCGTCGTCGGGGTCGGGGGCGGCTCCGTCCAGGGCGTCGGGCGGCGGCTGCGCGTAGCTGCTGCGGCTGCTGAAGCTCGCCCTGCATGACGGAGGGGAGGTCGCGAGGGGGTTCAGAACTCCGGCCGTCGTCGGTTCGTCCCATCCAGGACCACGACAAACTTGCAGCCATCGGGGCCGTTTCCGGTTGACGTCATAATTGAAAGAATTTTTTGAGGAAATGGTATTTTGTGACGGTACGTACTGGGAAGAGCAGACGGTTGTCGACCAGAGCATAGCGAAGAGGGCGGTGAGGACGGCCAGCCGCAGCACTGGCTTTCTCATGGCCGGGGGCTGGAAAAGAAGGTCATCGGGTGAGGCATGGGTCAACAACCCTCTGAGCAGCCGCGTCGCATCCCTACCATCGAGCATGGGTGTCGGTGTCCTCATCGAGGTAGGCGTCTCCTTTAACGCTTTGGACGGCTTCACTGTCACTACCAAGTAACAAAAACGGAGAATCGCCAAGGTATCGCT